TATATATATATATATATATATATATATATATATAATTTGGAACCCCTAGTTTATTTCTTTTATCATTACAAACCTAAATGTCGGTGTTGTCAGACACAAAAAAATATTAATAAAGCTCTACTATACAGTTTCTTCCCAAATGTGTTATGACAGCACACCTCTATTAACTACTGAATTTACGTGTGAAGTCCATGATAACACTGCTGAACAAGGCTTATATTGTTCACTAGGTGCAATTTGGTGTCAAGATCCCTTGAGGAAAGAAGCTCTTACACCTTCAGTGACGAATGATTAATGGCTGCAACATTGGTGGTGTAAGTTTCGAAGACACTTTCACTCCACCTACTCACACTAAATCCACTGCAGGTTGTTGCATGTTTTATCTGCGCCAAACAACCAGTGCTAAAATAAAAGGAAAAATAAAAATGGCAAAGGTAAAATACAGTAAAAAGTAAAGAAGATAAAATAAGCCAAAAACAGAACATTGCCCGTAAATTAGGTTAAAAGATCAAAGTGAATTAAAAAGGCCAGTGGCCTTTAAAAAGCTAAAAGCACAATCAATCTGCACAGTGTCATCATCTCCAATGATACTGCCAAACTTTAGGAGTAGCCATTTGAAAAAAACATGTCTAAAATGGCGCCGCCGCTCGCAAACATTGAAATATGTTGCGAGAGTGAGCTAGCACATTCATTCTATTTGCAGGGAGCTCCATCTAGCTGGTTGGTTGTTTTGGGCTTTATGGCGCAAAGCAGCGACGCTATCTACGCCAAACAACCGTTAAAAAGACAAAGAAAGTAAAACTATAAAAAGTAAAAAGAAAACAAACTAAAATCTAAACAATACCCAAAAATCAGGTAAAAATTAAATACAATTTAAAAGATTTTATGGCCCGCAAAATTCTATAAATACAATCAAACTAGACAGTGTCATCATCGCCAATGACACCGTCCGACGTAAGAGGTAAACCTTTAGAAAATACATTTCTAAAATGGTACCGCCGCTCACATTCGTAACAACAGGCACGAAAATAAAACGTGGGCATTAGTGACCTGAGTGGATCAGTCCCACATAAAAGAAAACTGTGGGGCAAAGCTATACGAGGGCTATCTGCGCTAGCCGTCTCTAATTTAGCAGTGAAAGACTAGAGGGAAGGAAGCTAGTTATGACCATCCTCCGCCAACTCTTGGGCTACTCTTTTACCAAGGAATAGTGCGACTGACCGTCACATTATTACGTCCTCATGGCTGAAAGGTCGAGCATGTTTGGTGGGATGGGGATTCGAACCCGCGACCGTTGGATATATACTACTGGTTAGTGTCAAGTGAGAGTAACAAACTCAAGGCTGCGATAAATCCAGCCCTTGCTATAATCAGGCCTCAATAGTAGAAAACAAGACCCCCCCTTTTCAAGGTGTGCTGTCCAAACACGTTTGGTACGTTTCTAATATAACAACAGGTTTGTGCAAAAAAATGTATATTTGATTCAATTCTTAATGTTTGCTGTATCCATTATTAAATTGAATTTATTGTTTTAAACAAAACTAAAATATCTGTTGTTGTTGTTTCAGACGAAACTCTCAAATTTAAGAATCTAAATATTATTCTTCTGACTTCGAAGCACTAATCCTTCTTTCTCAATGTGAAATAAGGTTAACACCTTAAACTTTAAACACATAAAACTTCAAAATAACACTCCTTGATTTCACTCTTCACACACACATTTCACATTTCAAATTTCACATTTAGGATGTGTAAAGTATTATTATCAATGTTAATTCTAGAGATAAGACAGGATAGTAATGAAATGTATTGAATATCTTGAAGTTATGTCTTATGAGGTGTAAGTATAATAATTATTTATTAGTTGTTTTAAGTTTTAAATTGATAATGTTTCTAAAAAATAGGGTAATCCATGTACAGTTACATATTTTAAGAGTTTCGGTTGAAATCACTTAAAAGGTTTTCAAGTAAAGAAAATTACCATTTCTGTGTTCTTTTATTGTCAACTTCGACTTTTCAGTAGGTAGTGGTATGTTTGATTTAATTCAAAAAGTACATATTCCACAGTAAGTTTTGAATCACTCAATCCAAATTAGTAATTCTACTCAATTATTTTGTCTGTAGGTAAGGATTCAGGAGTTCCATCAAGTAAACAAGAAGATCCTGCTACTGAAGAACGTATAGCACAGATTTTAACTGAGGCTCAGAATGCTATGCTTAATTCTAAAAGTAGGGAAAAGAAAAGCCCACAACGTAATGGAAGCATAAGCTATTCATCATACAATGGAAATGCTTTAAGATTTGAAGAAGAAGGCAAAGGTAGTGAAGTGGTTGACAATGAAGGAGGAAGTACGATTGATAGGGCATTAAACATTAGTAATAATTGTAAAGAGTCCTTCCAGGCCAGTAACTTGCGACGATCTAGAAAATATGACAATGATGACATACCCCAGGAAATGGTAGCAAGGATCTATCGAGAGGAGCTTGCGAAGCTCATGGGGCAGAGAGTGGAAGAAGGTTTTCGTTTACCCCAAGCTCTATATGAACGTACCCATGAAGAAATCAGACATGCAATTAACATCTATCATCAAGAACTCTCCTGTCTATCTCAAGTCCTTCCTTTAAGTACTGCAAACCTCAACCATATCAGTACAGCTGCAGCTTTAGCAAACAGAAATGCTTACACCTCATTCACCCATCCTATCAGCTTAGCAACTTCCCAATCTCAGCTGGAAGTGCCCATCGATGCCACAGTGCAGACACAGAGCCACAAAAATGATAAAAGAAGTGGCTGTGGTTCAGAGACAGAGAGTATATGTCGCCATGGAAGTGCTTTCTCTTTAGTACGACCAAAGACAGAGACAGGAACTAGTCTTGTCAAACCAACAGTTTCACATCAGTATAACACTAATCACACCTCCTTACCCACAATGTCTGTGATGTCTCTTGCTGAAATGCCCCATTCTGGTGAAGACCTTAGCACTTCAGCATCACCACTGCAACAGATGCAGTCCATCACAAATTCTTTATTGTCACAGTCATCTCTGGCAAACCTTCCCAACACTCCCCAGAGGCCCACAAAAGCAGTTCTCACACCTATCACACAGCATCAGTTTGACCAATACAGCAACCTGAATACTGAAGAAATTGTAAAAAATGTAAGCCATATTTAGGTAGTATTGTTACACCCAGAAATAGTTCAAATAGAAAGACATTACCTATTAATTAATTTTATCAAGTAAAAGAATATATTTGCTGCAACTGCAAGGTTATGCTACCATCGTTAGGAAAAAATATCTCTTTCATTAAAATAAATTGAAACCATCTAAACATTATTGTTTAGCTTTTGTTTTACTTAATAGAAACATCTTATTAAAAAACCTTTGAAATGCAAGATAAATTTCAAAATTGAATGATTATTTTTATTAAATTAAAAACTCTTTTGAATAACATTGGTATTAAAATTTATAGTTCCGTGATTCCACAGTTTCGTTATTGAATGTTTTTTATACCAATACCTCGATTATGAATAACAGTAGAAAAACATGTCTGTCAAAAAAATAGATATATGACAAAAAGAAACCCACGAACCTGAGCACTGACTAGGGATGCATTGTTGAAGTTGGTTTTAGACCCAAAATTACCAATATTTTGTTTGTATAATAAAAGGGAAAATAATTCATAAGCTTATTTTAAAAAATGTATTTTTTTTCTACAAGTAATTATTAGTCATAAAAACTATTTTTGTCGCTTTTTTAAATAAAAGAATAACAATATTCCAAAGTATCTCTGTCTCGAAATATGCTTTTTTAGGTAAAGGAACAGCTAAGCCAGTATTCTATAAGCCAGCGATTATTTGGTGAAAGTGTTCTGGGACTCTCTCAAGGTTCTGTCTCGGACCTTCTTGCAAGACCTAAACCTTGGCATCTGCTCACACAGAAAGGTCGAGAACCATTTATTCGTATGAAGATATTTCTCGGGGATGAGAATGCAGTACATAAGCTTGTGGCTTCCCAATATAAAATTCCTCCGGAAAAGTTGATGCGAACAGGAGGATTTGGAGGACCCAGTAACTTACCCTGTAAGATGCTCGATGTCATTTTTCCACATTTATTGTTTAATTATCTAGTTCACGGAAGCCCCAACTTAGTGAAGTAAATAAAAAATTAAAATATTATTTTGTTAAGATTTGTTTACTTTTTAGCATGCAAGAAAATATATAATATGTTGGCTTCTGCAGGTCTTTTTTTTTAATATCTAGATGCTTTTATTAAATTTTAAGCAATTGTGGGGGCATTCTTGAACCTTTAGAAAAATATATTTTCTTCAGTGTATGATGTTAATGTGGTAAATATGGAGAACTTGACTCAGTAATACAAATATCCGATTTTTTATCATATAAAAGTTTGTTACAATCGAGTTTAACGTTGTAAAATTGGTTGGAAGAAGTCTTCTTATGATATATTATTGGGATTACGGCTGAAAATGTTGTTAGCAGTGAAGGGACCACCTTATGATTTATTGCCTTCTAAGCATTATATACTTTAGTTTTCTCGTGTTTTGGTGTATATCGTGATGTACTTTTACTCAGTTTGTTATACGGGATTGGCTTCATTCTTTTACCTGTTACTTTCTTTAAGTTCTGGTCAATATCACTGATGTTGGAATATGGCAGGCATCTCCAAAACAGTTGTAACCAGTAGCAACGTTGGCCGTCTTCCCTCCTTCAGGCTTATGATTTCTCCAACTTGAATTAAGTATTTTGTTCAAAATAATGACTTGCTATAGATAGGTAAAGATTATAAAGTGAATTTGGTGATAGAATGAAAAATATAGAGGTTTAAAGTAAAATTTAGTTCATGGAAGCTGGTCGTTAAATTGCTTATTTTCGCATTAATTTTACTTGTGTTCCTCAGCTGATTTTCATCATATCATGGCCCTCAATACATAAAACTAATTGAAGCTAAAACTGCAAAAATGTTCCAAAGAGTATGCCCCCCCCCCGTTATAAACAGTATTTTTTTTAGTATTGAGCGAAAGACCTTAACGGCATGAAGCACTCAAAGGTATGCGATCGAGATGCTATGTCCTTATTAATCGAAACCCATGTATAGGGCCAGTAAAGAAAGACGCGTTAACAGTTATTATCACTCGTATTGTGACGTCACACAGAACATCGACCTAATTATTTATAAACTAAGTAATAGTATAAACATTAAAAAAAACATCACGTTAGGTTTCGCATGTTCAAATTACACTAATACATTGTTTTGGCTTTTCAAGTTGAGGTTGTTTAGAAATTGTAAACATTTACAGAAATATGCGAGTAGGAAAATGATCGAAACGTCATATGGGAATATATACTAGAATAAATACGCCCAAAATCTGTTTAGACAGATTTTTTTCAATACCAAAAAACGTAACGATTTTAATGAGTGTTTTTTTTCATATACTTCTACTGATAGACTTAATTTTTGTTTAAATATCTATAATAATTAGCCTATGGTGAATTAAAGCATGAGTCGGTTGTCTACGTGTCCACATTGATAGTCTCCTGATATTCTACCGTTATACACGTATCCATATTGATAATCTCCTGATGATTTACCGTTATGCGCGTGTCCATATTGATAATTTCCTGATGATTTACCGTTATGCACGTGTCCATATTGATAATCTCTTGATGACTTACCATTATGCACGTGTCCATATTGATAATCTCCTGATGACTTACCGTTATGCACGTGTCCATATTGATAATCTCCTGATGATTTACCGTTATGTGCGTGTCCATATTGATAATCTCCTGATGATTTACCGTTATGCACGTGTCCGTATCGATAGTCTCATGATGATATACCGTTATACATGTTACTCCTTTTTAAGCTCTTGATTAACCGGGTATTTTTTCTCTTCTGTTTACACTTTTAGTTTTGCAGGAAAACGTTCGTGTTTTTCCCAACTTGAATTGAATATTGAGTCTAAAACAATGAATAAAAATTATACCTCCCATTGGCACAGCGGTATGTCAGCGGACTTACAAGCTAGAAACCGGTCAGAGCACTGATAGCCAATTGTGCAGCTTTGTGCTTAACTACAAACAAATAAAAATTCTAAAACGAACTTGGTAGTTGGAAATGACAAGTCGAAAAGGTTTCGAGAGATTTATGGATCGTGCAAGTTTGTTACTTAACTGCTTTTTATTTCCAATAATGTTATTTGTACTTTTTTTTCCTGATTTATCAGAATTACATGCTAACTAAACATTTTTTCTTATAACTGGTGCAATCATAGTAATAAATGTACAGAAATGAAAAAAGATATGACATCATAAGAAAAAAAAACAATAGGAACACAGCACTTGTGTAAAAATATTTATTAAAAACTCAGCTAAAACAATGTTTAAAAATACCCAATGATTTAAAAGCTGTTGAAGGCATTAGGCCTTGCTAAAACATTTACATGTTCCATATTTTTAAACATTGTTTTAACCGAGTATTTTTGATAGATATCATAATGCATCAGAGAAGAAATAAAGTAGTTGTAATGGTTCAACTGATTATTTGTTTGTTTGCACTTTTATTCTTATACAGCTATGTGACAAAATGTTTTTATTTTAGCAGCTTCCAGTGAACTGCCACATGGAACTGTGGAACCAGTAGCAGCACATCATCATGCACTTGACAAAAGCTATACTCTTCTAAACATGAAACTACCCCTACCCATGACTATGAAACGTTCTTCCCCCACCACCTCACCAAGTATTTCAGTGCCAACTAACCTGCCATCTAGTACTCTCTCCACAGTCCACAACAAACAAACAACCTCAAGAATGCCCCATCATAGCCCCCCATCTATGCCCTATCTGCAACCATCTGTATACGAAATGGCTGCTATGACCACAGATTTTGACACACAGAGTATTACTTCCAAGATTAAAGATACACTCTTGGCTCACAATATAGGTCAGAAGGTAAGAAAATATTGATGATTCATTTCAGAACAGTTAGTTTCTAAACAGAAAACTCAATTTTACCTTAACTGTGAATCATTATTGTTAAGGTAAAATTGATAACTCTAGGCAACTATGAGTTCTAGTAAACAACAAGGAATGATAATCAGTTAAGGTAAAATTGATAACTCAAGGGCAAGTACGAGTTCTAGTAAACAACAGGGAATGATAATCAGTTAAGGTAAAATTGATAACTCTAGGCAAGTATGAGTTCTAGTAAACAACAGGAAATGATAATCAGTTAAGGTAAAATTGATAACTCTAGGCAAGTATGAGTTCTAGTAAACAACAGGGAATGATAATCAGTTAAGGTAAAATTGATAACTCTAGGCAAGTATGAGTTCTAGTAAACAACAGGGAATGATAATCAGTTAAGGTAAAACTGATAACTCAAGGGCAAGTATGAGTTCTAGTAAACAACAGGGTTGATTATCATTCCCTGTTGTTTAC